AATCCCAACCCGTGCCTTCATGTGTCTTTCTAAAGTTCGAGATCTCGAAGTAAACGCGTTAGGTGATTAATTTGACAGCGTCGTTCTTCGTCAGAGCACACTGCTTAACACGTTGACGACATTGTGCAGCGCATGCGCATCACACCTTGAGCACCGTGTGGGACCGTGTGCAGCGCATGCGCTGCACACACAAAATATTTATTTTTTTCGCGCATGCGCTACTTCTTTTCTTTTTTTGCATCTATTCCATAGACTAAACCATAATATGACTAGACACGGCGAGGTTCATTGAATGGTTGAATATGCTCCTTTTTAGCGAAGGTTTTCTAAGCCCTACGAATTTCCCAATTGTGTTCATTCCTAGTTTCCTTTATATTCTGATAATCTTGGTCATAAAAAAAGCAGTAGAAGTAAGTACCATAAAAAAAAGAGCAGAAGTAAGTACAGACCCACACATATAGCAAGACATATGTTTTTAGTGGAGCAACCGCGTCAAAAATAATTCTGAGGTTCAGTACAGCAATAGCAACTGAAACTTGCCTTTCATCGCCAGAAAACGTCAATTCGATCGATTTTTTACAGTTATCCCTTCTGATAAGTTTGACACATCGAATATCATTCTAAACATTTTGTTGCATCCGAGTTTTGGGTATTTAAAGCTCAAAATTCACGGATTTGATGTGAGGCGGCGGCGCCTGCAAAATCGCCGTGGTCCCACGCGGCGCAAAAACCCAAAACGCGCGTTGTCGTCAACGTGTTAATATAGTTGCCTGATAAGGGTGTGCGCGAGCGCCAAGAGAATTATGAGAACTCGCAAATCACCAGGAAGGGCAAAAGTGGTTCATTATGGTGATAAAATGTTTCAGAGCAAAAATCAGTAGTGTTCTTTGAGAAGGTAGTGGGAGTAGTGGCAATTCGCGTAAGGAGCGCGGATGAGTGAGCGTAATCTTATTGAACGGCTGATGTGAGAACGATGAATGAAGACGATGAGAATCGCAATAGGCGCAGGATGGATTGTGGCCCTGGCTAGGTGAAAGAGTTGTTCAGCTGGAAATCAGCTAAACTAAGGCTCCTTCTAACCCAGGCAGCAGAAATCACCACTATATAAATTTTGAACGAGTATGAAGGGCGAAGCAGTACATAAATTCTCATCTCAACCATCTCCCCGTACCCCTTCAAAACCCTCTCCCCATCCCGGAGATCCTTTTCTTCAGCAAAACCCTTCTTCCAAAGTTCCGTCGAAACCAAGCAAACCTTTTGAATACGGAACACTCAAAAAATTACAGAAAACTGTTCGCTGAAATCGTTATGGGATTATTAGCTTTTTTGTCCCAGCTCACCTTCGAATTTGGTTCTTTACCGCCGCGGCTGCTTAGCTTCCCGCGCCGCGGATACAGCGTTTAGCATTTTCCACAACTGGATTGAGGCAAAATACAAGTTGACAGGTGGCATATAAGCTCCAACCCTTTTATTTGCTAAAGCTACAAAGTAAAATACTTTTCAGATGATAGCTTAAAGGAATCTTCTACGGAAAAAGCTCCGCCTCCATCATCACAGAAAAACGATACCTTAGGCCCCTAGCCTCATGCAGCATAACAAAAAGAACGAACATAACGTTAACTTGTCCGTAAAAGATTCTTAACACATTGACGACCGCGCGCGTTTTGGCTTTTTTGGCCGTGTGGGACCGGGCCGATTTTGCGAGTGCGACCGCCGCACCTCGGATCCGTGAATTTTTATTGATAACTTTTTAAAGCACCAGTGGTACAAAAACATCTCAGTAACAGTCAATGCGTAGAAGGTAATAGAGTATATAGTGACGAAGTTCCGATTAAAGAACATGTAATGGTAATGAAAAAGGAAACTTTAGTCATTTTATCTGTAGTGGATGCCAAAAGCTCTTTTGATGTGGTTATACCAAGTGAAACATGTATTTTTCTGTCTCTTTAGATTTGCATTTACTTTCACTACCCTTTTTTATTGACGTGTTCATGAGAATAGCATGAAAACTATTAATGAACCAAGCCGCCGGTTTCGGTGAGCTTGGAAAACTTCTTCTAAACTGGAGCATATTTGAACAAACAATGACCTATGTCGTTCACAATAATGTTATGTTCTAATCCATAGAAGAGAGACAAACAATTCGGGAAAAAGCTGCGCATGCCCTAGAAAAAGGGATGATAAGGGTGAGACGCGGTAACGCGTCTCAATGTCCAACGAGGTGCGCAAAGTGAGACGCGTTACCGCGTCTCAATGTCGTCAATGTGTTAAGCGGTATCGCTTTCTGTGGTAATGGGGGCGGAGCATCTGGAAGATTCCTTTGAAACAATAGACCCAAAAGCCAACATCCACGCCTACCCAAAAGCGATGTGAGCTTCGCTCTTAAGAAACTGTCCAACTCACTCCATACCCATCGGACGTATTTATTGCTTTTTGAAATGGGGTGTATTTGGCAAGAAGGTCCGTCTTGTGTGGATGAAGATATTTTAACTGAGGTAGAATGGATTGCGATGAAACATAAAACAGAGACCGTAAATGCTTGCTTTCACCCTCACCTCAATTTTCTCCTCGGCGGATTCGTGGAATGCTGTGCGGATTTTGACGTGTGATAGGCTGCAATCTGTTCCAACGACCTCACTGAGACCATCGACGTCGGATGAGCGGAGTCCATCCGATTTCGAAAATTTTCCCTACGTGGCTATTGATGTGGGATCCCAACTAAAGAAGTAGGAGCCTCTTTGCTTGCTGACTTTCCTCCATACCCAAAATGTGGCTTTTTTACCGGAACGTTTCTAACAAATATAAATCTTGATATATAACTTTATTACTTGTTCTCTTCTACCATGGAGAGGGGGGTGGCTTAAAAAGAGACTTTAGCCCATGGCGCACATCATGAAATTTTTCGTCACACAGGATGCCGTTGTTGATGAAATGTTACGGCAGAATATTCCAAGGTCCCCCCCCATAAGCAGAAGCAGGCCCTCCTTCACTGCCCCCGCCGTCTTCAGAATATGACGTCATCTGCCGTCACCGTCGAGCTCAACGAGGCTTACCGTAATCGCTCCGGCCTGAAGCTGCTACATAATTTCTTCAACCGATTAACTGTGATAGCTGAGACAATAGCTTATATCACTATGCCAAGGTGCTTTTGACCAGCCGTTTTAGTGAATCGCCAATGTCCTACTTAGGTACTCGACTCGACCTCGTTGAAGCTCGTACCGTTAACCAGCGTTACCGTGAAAAATCTTCTATGACTGGCGTGCGGGTTGTAGAAAGCTATCATGTAACCTTTTGACAGAATCAGACGTTCTCTTTAATATCAGTTGGTCTCAATTTGGTTACGCCAAGGTCCTAAAAATTTTTTTTTTTGCAAAAAAAAAATTCAGTTTTTGACGTTGAGAGGTGTCTCTCTTTTTGACGACATCCTCCCCCTATGATTACTCACATCAGATAATATCTGATGCAGGATTGCAACCTGAAAAAAGCTCAATTCGATTAATGTGAAGCTCGCCTTGTAAGGAACAGTAGAAACAAATGACGCGCTATTAAGAGCTTCAATTAGTTGTTCAAACCAAATTGTCAAATAGTAATTCACAAACTATGATCTTTCTAGCGCATTTATTAGAGCCGACAACATGACCCAGTACTGACAAGACTGTTCTGAATTAACATAACCACCCTTTTCAGGCAACTTAGATGTATTGGTGAACAATAAGAACTTTCGTAAGAACTTTTCGTAGACAGTTTCTAACCGAGATTCACACGTGAGTTAGCTTGAGGGGCAGCGAGTTCGAGTGATTTCGTCAATAGGCCTCAGTACTGTATCACGAGCAACTAGACAGAGGAATCGTTCAATGAATGGCAAGCCTTTATTCGAAAGTTTTTCAGCACCATGCTATAGTCGCACTTGCAAAACCACAGTGAGTTTCAAAACCCTCGAGGCATTTTGGATTCAGGTCACTGGTCCAAAAATGAACCGGAGGGAAGAATGCCTTACCATTACGCGGGAGCTGAGGCCTTATATAAGGATGGCCTTCCACCAGTAACTCTAAATCAAGTTTAGTCCGGATTGCTGTGTGTCCCACTACTGGTTCCGGGTGGTCTCGAGTACCGGACTAAGTTACGGTAAGTGGCTCACCTTGGTATTGCGTGATGACCTGTTTGTTCTCGAATTTCAGTAGTGACATAGGCGAAGGCGTTTAGTTCGGTAGTCAGTCAGCTTTGCTTCGATCCTTTTAAGGCTCTGAGGGGTGACCCGCCGAAACGTAAGCCAATAAAGTCTCCTTAACAAACCTCGTGGAGAGCTTACAGAATATATCAGCCATCAACAAGCGAGTTCCTTTTCTCCTAAGCGGCTCTACTAACGCCAGGAAAAGTGTGAAAAATCCTGTGAGTTGCAGGTGGGCAGGACATGTGTCGAAGGGTGGTCCTGCAATCTGAAGATAAGGTTGCAATGTCCTATATCGCTGAAGTCCCATGCGAGGAGCCTGTTAGTGGGTAGTGCCAATTTGGCTTTATTATATAGATTTTAGGAATATCCAGCTTTGAATCCTTGCATTTTGAAAGGCTCTAGCTCACCTCGAGGTCTAGATTTCTCCATAAATGTGCCTTTGACCGTTTTCACCATGGGAATCAGCCATTAATAATTTTTCAGTTATCTTGGTTTCCTGAAGCAGCCCAGGAAAAATGAATCATATTTCTGTGCCCAATCCCAAATGCACCAAGCAATATGCAAAAAACCGTTTCCGAAAACACGTTCCACGTCCTGAGAGAGTAACTTGGTGGCAGAAATGATCACAATCATACCAGAACAAAAACGTGATGAATAGACAAGACTAGCAGTAGAAACAGTAAAGCAGAATATACCAGGGGCCAAGCTCTTATGGAATTCTATGCAAAAATATAAAATACAATCGGGAAACAAGAGAATACCGGAGACTTCCACTGAGTTCCGAAAGGACCCTGTACTCACGCAAGAGATACCGAACTTGCTCTCAAGCTTACGCATTACCGGCCTTGACCGTCTGTTTTTGTGTGAGTTCGTAGTAGAAACCACGTTTCGCCAAGAGTTCCGAATGTTTTCCTGAAATAGCGGGCATGTTCACCTGTACGCCGAGGCATGTCATTGTACTTATTGTCTTCAAAAATATTGAACGCGACGGCTGATGGGCGGGACGGTTTTGATGATGTAACTGGACGTCATTTTTGAATAGCTAGCGCTTGCGACTTAATCAATCCTTCCAGATGTAAATCTGTCATATTGCAGGATATGAGATGAATGATGATTGAAACATTGCGGACCGCCGTTGCACGAGTATCTCCGTATCTTTTTATGTTTATCAAAAATTAATCATCATCAATCTATCAACAATTTTATCAGTGATGACACGTATAGTTTTCCGGTTCTGAAAATGATGCAAGCAGTTCAGGAAAATTGAAAGAGGCCAAATAAATCAGATAAAACCAAGCTCATTCGTGTAAATCGTGCGCCACATGGTGGCGCGCGCGGTACGCAATGTATTAAAGAGCAAGTATAGGTAAGGTCGCGTGGAAAAATCTACTTTATGAGGTAGGATAGATTACCCCCGAGTATTACAAAGGAGCCGGCTCAAAACAGCGCGACAGGTACGAGGGTTATTACATAAGTGCTAGTGGACGAGATGCCTCGCGCACACCCCGTGAACGCATCGTGCTAGGGCGCTATCAAGAGTCTGATTAGTGGGTGGTGAGGCAACAAAATTTCAGGTAGTGTAGCTCAAGAGCCCCCTCCTCGCTCAATTGGAGCAGAGTTAGTCTTTGTTAAGGGTTTCATTGGTGGTTTTCTTCGCTTCTCTTTCCATTTTCAGTCAAGTTGGTTATCCACACTTTCATTATTGACGCTGTTACAACAGCCATTCAATCCAGGGTTGCTGCCTCAGTTATATCCTTGGATGTGAGAGGAACAGTGGTGGCAAGAAGGTTATATATAGTAAGAGGTATGTTAAGTTAGGGTGGCAGAGCGGCAGTGGAATGAGGTATGATAGTGACATGAAAAGCTGCTTGGGTGAATTGGAAAGAAATGGTGCCCCGGTAACGGAAATGGTAGCGCACCTGTTCGGTAAGGGAAGAGGTTTGGGTTCAATTCCCATCTGAGGCGAAAATTTTGTTCAAACCTAGCATTCTTGTAAAATGAGTCAAACCTTGTTCAATGATCACGCCTCCTTTTACGACAGCAATTGAATCTGCATTGACGACCGTACTGAGACGATGAGCGATCACAATACATGTACGACCTTCACGAGCTCGATCCAATGCCTCTTGCACTATCTAAAGTGAATTAATTGATAAGCTTGATAGGGTCTGACGTTGTGAAAGACCTGATTACCTATCCGCAGCTATTTTTGGTCTAGGACCAGGAGAAGCATTCGCTTCCCATGGCACTGACAATTAGCTCAAGACACCAGAATTGAGGCCCTTCAAATGCTGATTACAAATATGGAACTAAACGGCAAAGTGACCTGTCAAGGACTATGAGTGCTCAAAGTTGCCGGAAGTAAGTTTGCACGATAACCGTGCTAGCCTTCTGGGCTTTCCGATAATTGCCATGAAATTGTGCCTGCGTGTTGGAAGACAGGAAATCATGACCTGCGGTGGGAAAGCGAGAGGCACTACCGTAACTCTATGACGGGTGAAAAATAGCACGGTAACGTGACCCTGACGCTTCGTATCTACCACCAATTGAATTGCTAACAACTTCATTGGTTGAGTCTAATTTTGTAGCTTCGGGGCCTTCCATATCGTAACCAAAGTGTCCGGCAGTTCTGTCGGATTGTTGGCGTCCTTATCAGAAATTCCATGGTCTTAGTGGGGATACTGTGCTGAGGCAGTGTCTTCTTGCGGGGAGAGCCAGAATATGGACAATACTTAGTGGGAGTGTACTTGCTGAGGAGTACTCTACCTTGTGGAAATGCCCTCAACCCATTTCAATACCGCACATGTTTTTGAATAGCCACTAGTTTCACTTGCGTTTTGCTTGAGAAAAAATGGAATCTACTTTGGAATGGTACAGCTTTAATAGAAAGGAATTCTTCGACTAATCAGCGGTATCTATACGATGGCGGGGGCAAAGCGGGGCTCAGTGCTATCGATTACTCATGTTTTATATGCGCAACTGGAGTATGAATATAAGGCACCAGGCCATCAATGTCCCTCCAATAGCTCCAATAGCAAATTACTAGGTGTATTCATTACCTTTTCACTTTCCGTATCCAAGGCGCTGGTTGCCTCATCTAGCAGCAGAATCTTCGGGCTCCTGACAAGAGCACGAGCGATGGCAATTCGTTGTTTCTGACCGCCAGACAACTGTGTTCCTTTGTCGCCAACAAATGTGTTTTTCGTTGTTGATAACCCTGGAAAGAAGATCTGACGTGCGTTGTACCTTCTCCCAGTCATCCGTTACCTCCGCGTAACTCATACAACGAGTAATATTGGCTTTGCGAGCGGCGTCTCGATGTTCGGTCTGCGTAAGAACTTTCTGCAAGTATAACTGCCTTAGACTCTGTCAGTGGTTCTGAGAGATAGTCAATGATGTATAATGCTTCAATCCGGGACAAGTTCATGCTTACGTTTCGGATTTCCCAATATTCTTTGAAACTCTGTAAAACAACTGCTGTTCATCACACGACCCTCCAATTTCCACAAAATATGATCCTCACCCTTTCGAAAATATATACCCATCACCCAACCAAATCGACTAGTCCCAAAAATACCGAACACCACCGATCGGCTAGAGGTGGGCATGGAGCAGGGTAGGGAAGAAGCAAACATTGGAACGAAACCGCCAAAAACCCGAGAAATGGGACCCCTTCCTTGCCCGTTGATTTGCGCATTGATGCTCTCATCGCTGTGCCCTTTTCAACACTACGCTCTCTCTGCTATCTAATCACTCGCCACGTATAGACCTGCGGCGAGTGATTAGATAGTCGGTGGGCGTACCCCGCCAACCGCGCCAAGAGTGAGCCATGCTAGATCGCCGAGGTCAAATCTTTCGCTGCCAATTGCGCGTCGCAGCACCCTCAGGAGGTCCGCCTGTCTCCCAACTATGCAATTTTCCCCTTCTTTGACCTTCGTTCTTATCGTGAATTCCTCCTTCAATGCAGCTTGATGAAAATCTGAAATAACTGCTTCGTGGTTGATAACTACCTTCCAATCCGTATACAATATTGTCCGCAATGGAGCAGTCGAATAGAATCGGTTCCTGGGAGACGATAGCGATCTGTGACCGAGTATGATATGGATTAAGGGTGCGAATATCGTGGGAATCCAACAGCTGAAATAGCATTGTTTTGAAGAACGGAAATCGATTTTATAGTTCCCAAGAAAAACCATACTTACCACCTGTCCACCTTTGACATCGTAAAAACGCTCGATCAATGAAACAACCGTGCTCTTGCCACAGCCGGACGGACCGACAAGTGCCAGTGTTTCTCCAGGTTTAGCTGTAAATGACAGGCCCTGAAAACAGTGTTCCTTTGTATGTGGGGTGCATTCCCTAGCGGTGAATTCACAGCTGACATCCATCGCGCTGCCTGAAGCAGCGGTCGCCCACTGCTCCCCACCCTCCCTCTCAGATAGCAAATAAACTATGCGCCTTACTAAAACGAAGCAAGATACACGTTTGTGCGGCCATTCAATCATGTTAGCAGGCTTAATGTCCGCCTGTTTAAGAGCCCCCAATCTCGTTACAGTAACTTAAGGGAGAAGTGTTCCTAGTCAATTCAACATAAATTAAATTTGCATTACTGTAATCGATTATCAGCGTTGCTGGCTTCGGTTGCGCGAATCCCTGATTATTCGCAATTATTCCTATTTTCTGATTTTCAGCGTATTTACCTTCAATATTTATTGAATACCGCAACGCAACCGCGCATGGCAGACTCTACACGTCCCGGCCAGTGCGTCGCAATAGCGCTGTCAGCGCGACGGCGCGCGGCAGAATGTGACGTCCCGACGCTGCTTTGTCCTACATATATCGCATGAGAAGTTCCCTCATGTTATTGTTGCATCCAATTGCCACCAAACAAGTATATATTTTCAATACACTTGAACATTATCTACTCTTAAAATTCGAATAAATTCTTAGCACCAGTACCTTTAAATACTTCGATTGAGGTCCGCTCAGGACTTAGCAGAATCTAACATTTTTGAACGTGACAGCACCGCTCAGACTCTAAAGCATAAGATAGTCAGCATACATACTAGACAGATCAACAAATCAATTAATCGATCGATGCGCGACCTCTCCTTTTTGCCGTCATGTGTGAGGTTGTCGATTGCGGGTTTCTGCTTGAGCATGTTGAAAATGATGCCTCCCAGCGAATGCCGCCTTCATGTACTCGGGAAAATAGGATGAAGCGAATCCGAGCGTCGAGGACGAAATGTGAATCGGGTACATACCCTGTCGATCAAGTGTCCGATTTCGTGCACAATTCTAAGCCAGCTCAAAAATCGACTTGGATCCCAGACTGACCTCAGTACTCGCAACGGTAACATAATGCTGCTGACGATCAAATACAAACCCAATCGATATGAGCAACAGTTCAGCACATATACTATGGAAGTGGCGAATCTGAATTAGAATTAATTTGGAATACGATAGTTAAGGTAGGATCGTTAAGGGTGGGTTATGAAAAATTTACTTGTAATTTTTCAGATTGAAGCGGTTTGGTTTGCAACAAGAAACTGGCGGACAGACATTTTTTTATTTTTTTTCAGACAAAAACCGGCGCTCTCCTAAGATACGCGGGGTATAGTGGCGGGAGTGCATCAAAACCGCTTAAATTCATCGCCCGGCTGTTGACTCGAACTAAGCTCTAACCCGGCGGAGGAGGAGAGGCTCGCGTGTGACTGAGCAATTTCATCTTCCAGTCAGTTCCGGCTCATTGTAGGCTTCGCCTCGAGTGCCCGATTTCCCACAGAAGGAGATGATGCTGAGGCGGTTTTCACAATGCTTTTCCACCAACCTATGCTCTATGGCTCGATAGGCCCTCCTAAGCTTCTTATCCTGTCATAAGCGCCTACAATGTTTTAAAATTTTTGAAAAGTGAATTAAATGGTCTTTACTCTTCCGACAACGCTAGCAAATTTTTTCTCTCGTTTTCTAAGCTTGCTCCTGAAATAATTGTATAGTACTCACGCCATAGCATCTTCGCTTGAATGAACGACTAAGCGGAGTCGCCGTCCCATCGTGTGCGGTGCGGTTCGAGATAATCGCAGCAATTTGGTGAATGCTTCCTCCTTAGTAAGCGCTTGAACTGTGCGTACATGCTCGATTGCTTCCATAGCTACCTGAAATAAATTCATTGATAAATTGATGATGATCAAATTTCCGCTGGAGCCATTATTACTTTTTCGAAACAACATTTTTGGGGGTTTTTAAAAAAAGGGGGGGGGGTGGGGGGGGGGGGGGGGGGGGGGGGGGGGGGGGGGGGGGGGGGGGGGGGGGGGGGGGGGGGGGGGGGGGCCACATTCCGCACTTTTACTTGTTTTAAGGTGGCCAATGGGCTCGAGTCGAAAAGGAGGGTCATCACTCCATATCCGTAAGGCTTGAACCACATAATGAGGTCTTAAACAACGACGGAACCCGCCGATACGTTGGTAAAAAACGTAGATTCTCCCAAAAGAGCTTGGAGATCACTACATTTGATGTGTTTTGCCCTGACACTTTGCATGACCAGTCCAAGGTAACACGATTGACATCAATATTAGCATGCTTTTCTCAATTCATTGCCCATGCCAGACCCAAATCGAAGCTTCACCTCAACAAATTTGGAAGGAATTTGAGTGTGTGGCGCATCCCAAAAGGAACAGTTCCGTAGGGGCCTGTGGAAATTTCAAATCTATCATTTTGTTATATTAATGTTCCAGTTCAAGTGGTTAGCGAACGCCCTTCATTTACGTACCTTGCCGGAATCCTCGAAATCCTTCGCATTCTTACGATGCTTGCCACTCATCACGCGAACTCGCAAAGCTTGTCCGAAGCCTTTAAAATGAATAGTAAAGAAAGACTTAACAAATCGGTGAGAAATTATTTTGGAGCTTTCAAAACTCAAAACACCATATTCACCAAGCAATGGAAGGATTCCGACCACAAGTAATGCCATTTGCCATCCATAGTAGAACGCCAACACAATACCAGCAATCATCGAAATACACGTCATGATTACGGTACTCAAACGGAAATCGATCGCCTATAAGCTCATATCATGAAAAAACAAAGCAAACATTTTTTGAACCTTAAGGGCACATGTCACGGTAAAAAGATGTTGATTTGGCATTATAAATAAGAAACTGTAGGTGCCAATGGAAATAAAAAATTGAACAGAATAAAAAAAGAAGTTGCCTCCTCCTCATCATAGGTGATTCAGAACACTGGGTAGAGCTTTGGACGAAGGCAGTGTGTGCCCTGACGAGAGGCTGAGGTGGGGTGACAATGCAGAAGAGAGTTATAAGGTTGCAGACACGGGTGGAACACTTGGAGAGGCGGGGTAGAATGTGTCCCGGGCGTAACTCTTTGTTCTTGAGCTGCATTTTCCTGTAGCGATGACGCATATTCCCTCCTCTAGCACCCACACTTTTTCTTTGGCTCGACACACTCTCAAGGAGCCCATCGTGGAGCCTCAGACACAAGGTCATATCAAAAAGCATTGTTGGACAAAATAAGCTGGTAAAGCGGGCTAGTGAGGTAAAGCAACGACTTTTGATCAAGGGCACGAACCGAAGTAAATATTACGGGCACAATCGGTAGCTAAATACAGCAGTACATCTTTCCACAAGCATGGAAGGGGAAGAATCGGCAATATCCCATGGTTTGTGAGAGAATGTTCAGAGGAACAGCCTCGAACGAAATCCCCATTGGGGTGAGGTTTTCAGCACCATAACCCATGAAAAACGTCTGAAAAGATATGTCTAGAGGTGCTTTATGAATATGTCGAAGATGTAGCGATAATCCGGAGTCGGTAAAAAAAATTGCAAAAGTGGTCAAACAACCTAAGAAACGGGGCCTTTTTAAGCAGTTGGTGTATAGGGGTGGATGGGGCGGGTTTTTGCCGGTAGCGGTAAGGAATGTTCAGGTAAAGTTAAAATACTTAATGTAGCTTCAGCAACAGCCGGTTTAGGCATTGGTCGTTTTCAGTATAATCGTTTGCATACATTCATTCTCAAGAATGATCAGTTTCATATCCAAAATGCCGCCACTACTCTTCTCCTACGTGCCAAAGGGTAGGCGTACCTGTGCTCATGGCATTTTTACAGGGGGCTTCGGTGCCCTATAATTCCGCTGAATAAACGGCACCTAAGTTCTACTTGGACATGCCTCTAATCAACCCATCACCCACCTTCATCTTTATTATTTCATACAATTCATCACGCATCGCTGCCTCAAACCTTTACGTCGCTACTCTGATTTATTTGAGCCACCTCGGGGTGAAAACTCCAGTTCGGGGGGGGGGGGGCACTCCATTTTTTCTCCAATACTCAAGATAAGGATTAGAGGGCTCACGACACGTAATCGACTCATTTAAAGTAGACTTCTGATAAATATTGGTGTAATGGGTGAGAAACCCTGAAACGTTTTCACATTTCCGCCTGCCATGACCCAAGGGAACGGTCCTGGACCAGGAGAAAGGACACCTCCGCAAAGGGCTAAGGGTGCAGGAGCTCCAGGGTGGATCACCTGTGCAGAAAAGTGGATGGGATGTGGGCAGGTAGTGTGGAATGTAGGACATCCACCGGTCCTTATCAAAAGTACGCTCGAAATGAGTCGTTCACTTATTATCTTATCCGTAGTGTTCGATAGCCCAAAGAACTGCTCTCTAGTACTACGGATAAGATAGCAATGGAGTGCCCCCCCCCCGAACTGGAGTTTCACCGCCTCCTCTACTCAGCTTGAAAGCTACTAACGACACATTGCTGCAACGTGGTTGATTATGGATTCCTCTTGACAGCGCAGTGCCGTGTAATTCAAACACGAGGCTCGAGTGTTTTGGCGTCACACAGATTAGCGCTTTTGATGCCTTTCTAACGTGCGTGAGACGAACGCCACCCCATTTTCAGTGCGCTTATTTGGCGCCTTTTTGGTTGCAACTTCAAATTTTTTACCTTATTATATTTTCTGTGGACAGCTTGGAGCGGTAGGAGCGGACATTGGAAACAGACAAGGCAAAGGAATTGCACTGAAAATTTGCTTTAGTATGTCGGTTAGGTGAATATACTATCCACTATTTACACCTGGTGTTTTCCTTTGAGTACTCAGCCGCCAAAAATACACCCGCTCCTTGAAACGCGATACAGCCCCTTTCTCCGGAGTCTCAGCTGTAAGCGCCGCAGAATTGGCTGTGACTGACGCACTTTCAATGCCGACCCACTTCAAGGGAGCGATGTTTTACACTTTCTCACCCCTCAAAATCTCACTACTGCTTTCATTTCTACGCCCAGTGCTTTCATTTCCACGCCGCATCAAAGAGTTTCCTACCTGCATGAACATGTTTGATCCTTGAATGGCAGCTAACACGAGGAACATCAGTGCCCAAAAGTGTCCTGTCGAGAGTAGTGTCGCAGTGTTCGAAAACGACTGAAATACTTGAGAATCTCAGTAGGAATAATTCGGATTCCGCGAGCATAGGATCTTTCACGTCTGAGGAAGTATTCCCAGATATTGTGAAGCTCCTAAGCAATATTATCTGCGTTGATCTGAATTCAATATTTTGATCACCAGGTCTCTCCAATGGGTATTGGGTTGTCTCATAATTCCTGTCGCATTTCTATTCAATTTCAAATTCCTTCCGTCTAAGACCGTTTCATTGCGAAATACGTTAGTATGTTGAAGTATGCTTCAAGTGCCTTAACAGCGTGTTTCGGAAGCGCAAGCCCTTAACGGGTTAATCAACTAGTAATAAAAATAGGTCAGTGACTGCAATCAATGATTATGCTTTACGATCCTCAAATGAACTCTGTAGCAAGGAGGACAACAGAGAAGATCAGCGCTGTGTTTGACTCAGTCTCTGCTACTGATAGGGTACTGAGCTAGTGGACCAATCGCAACGGCAAAGACGAAACGAGCTATGAACTTCAACCTCATACTGGGCCTGCGGTCATTTTTGATGAGCGCCCCTTGCACCCTAAATTGGGAGTGCCTCCGCACGTTGCTACCAGGGTATTGTAGCAGATACCTGAGCGCAGCCGATGCACCAGCAAACGCCATCAGTATGGCAAGGACTGCTGCAGAGTGAAGTTTTGATGGAAACCTTATGGTCCGGCCGACCATGAGCGGGAAGCACGCCTGATCACCTGGGGAAAACCCATTCTTGGATGGCAAAAGCAGAGTCTTCCCTAATCGGTCACCGGTGGAAATGAGTCATGAGTCCACTGCGACAACAACATGCGGCACGTCTTATGGCTGCCTCGCAGCCAGGAAGCACCAGCTCAACCAAAGCCCGAACTCCGTTTTCTGAGAATATCGATCTCGTTTTATTGGATTCGCTAGGTGGCCTGGTTTGGGAACCACTTCAATGTATGAAGACAAGCATTGCTAAAGTCAGCGCGGAATAGCCCTCTTGGCTGGCTTTGGGGTTGCGAGAGAATCGTCAGAAACGTCTCAGATCCTCCTTCCTCCGAATGTACACCAGACCTCACATTGCAATGCCAACTCACCACGTTGTGGGGGGAGATAGTAAGGGACGCGATACTTTCATAATTAGCATTGGCATCGCTCTATCGGACTATCGCCTCCCCTGCGCTTTGAATAAGCATCTGCCAGAGAAGAAAGTTAAAGATTGCGGTCACCCCAAAAACGACTTCTCCATATTCTTCAACCCCCAGTTTCCTTCATTCTGGGCTGGAAGCTTCCAAACGCCCACTAGTAAATGCACGCATATCAGTGACCATGATGGTGGTTATGCTATTAGTCAGTTGTTTCCCAGAAGAGATAAAACTTGAATAAACAAAAGTGTCGAAATTGCGACAGGAATTATGAGACAACCCAATAATATTTAGTGAGAGCCATCGCAGACTTGGTGGTGTTTGTTCATTTGTGAAGCTGTATTCATGTCTACGTGTTATTAACAGGCACTATCTACCAAATCGTGAGTTACACCGCTCGATGTAGTTAGCGGTTTGAAGGTGACAGAGAAGGGTAGAGATTCTGGGTTCCTATAACGACGTCTGAGTTGGGTTGCTCAAGCCGCTGAGTGATGCTCGAAGGGGTCGTTAATCACGTGTAGACGGAAACGGAGGGAGTCGTGCTCGGCGTTTTTTTCGTTGCTGATAGGAATTGGGGGCTAGATGCCGCCAGAGATGGTAAAAGTGGGAAAATAGTGACAAATGCACACCGACGTGGAAGTAATTTGCCCTTCTGTCACTCAAAGCCCATTATACTACTTCTTCAGAAATCGTCAAGTGTTTAGTCCGGTAGAAACATAATCAATGACGTAAAGTCGACAGCAGCAAAGGGGAAGGGAGAGGGGGTCTAACGAGCGACCTGTGAAAGATGTCGTATTGCGCGGATCGGACTTTCATTGACGCGATGGTCACAATGCTCATGGGTGTAATAAGATCAAGGTTTTGATAACCCTTATGGATTATTGCACTGATTTAACTTACCGTAATCACTTGCATAAACACCACAGAATACGTGGGGTAGACGAGACCTCCGATTGACGCAGGCTGTGAGTCCCACCACTATCGTTTTCCAGTGAGGAGCAGCATAGCCGAGGATTTCGAACAGATTCGTCTTCTGCACTCTTCAGCCTTCAGTTCTAGAAAATGTCGTTTATTACCCATCCAAGTATGAAACTTTGTTGGCTTTCCGTGCCCCTCACATCGATGGGCCCTTTCGGAGGTTCAACCGTGACGTTTGGAAAAACTGCAACGTCACACTAATAAAGCAGTATAGTACTGCATTGAAAATCCTTAGGATAGATTGAGCTGTAGAGATACTGCGGAGTCGAGTTATGTCATCTTTCTTTTCCTTGCTGTCATAATCTGCTGATCAGCGTCAAGATCGTAGCAGTTCGCATTCTGAGCTATAATGAGTATTTTTGTTGTAATCATGAATATGACTTTGACCCTACTTGGAAGAGACTGTTTTCCCTTACTTCAAGGCTCACCTGCGTTTCGTTCGCTGTTTGAACTGAGATTTCTCTGGAGATTAGGCTGGCCCTCTTCTGGTTCATAGCTGCGAACTCTTCATCGTGTTCGTGAGCGAAAAAGAGATATCATATGATATGCGATTCCAAAATATATAGCTCACTTTCCTATATAACTGGACCTGTGACCCATTGCTGTGGCCCAGTGGAGCAGTCAATATGTTGATCTTAGAGTTCTCTGGATGGATTAGGATAGGCAGCATGCACGGTTGGCAAGCCTCATTGTGGACGAAAATAGTAACTCGAAATGCATTGCATTAAAAGTCCTCTCCTGTGTTTAAAGTGTGGAATTTGTGGCGATCTGCGTCCACTCTAATTTTGAAAAAAGGAATGGTCCCGATGTGGAGAACGGAAGGGTTCTGATGAGGTTTTTGGCCGGCCCTAATGTTCAGAGTAATGGCTAAATACAATGATACGAGAGTTTAGAGAATTAATGAACTGATATACAGGAAAAGTGAAATGATTTCGGGTGAGGATGAATGGGGAGAGGCACTCTACTGGGTTTGCCTCTGTACAATGAAGTTGCAGGGTTGAGAAGGGGGTTAATAACGCAAGGATAGTTTTTGGGTACACTTTCATTAAAAATAGCTTCCGACAAAGGGACTGAGTCACCTGGATGCTGAGGAGATGGCGATCCTGCGCCAAAGGCTGGAAGCTTTTGCGTAGGCCTAAGAAGAGGAAATGGGGAGGGACAACCTCTTAGAAAACTCGAGTTCTTGCTTGATTTTAGGTTCGTGCGTCTATCCCACTATCCTGTGCTAGATGAAATAATCTAGTATGCTCTGAACATTGATCGCGTTTTTTACTATAGTCACAAATTTGTTTCGATCCTTTCCAGGCTTACTGCAGGAAACGCGAACCCCGCTGGACATATTTGAAGCCAAAGGTCTTTCAGAGCAACGGCGTGGAGGGCCTTTTACAGATAGAAAGCACAATAGATCACGCCGAGGTTCTTGCAAAGCCGTACATGCGACTATTGCACAATTACTGACCATTGACATCATCGACTGCATCGGTGAACGTTTGTGCGTGTACCAGGTCGTAGTAAAGCCCTTTGTTGGACAGTAATTCTTCATGAGTACCGACTTCGACCACTTCACCAGCCTAAGCATGTAGAAGTATCAAGTATGTATATCGAGTCTGATTCTATTTAGATTTATCTTTTTCTCTCTAAAACCGCTTTTTTCTATAGTTCCCTTAAAAAGGTTCACCAGGTTTTTTCTTGGGCCAACTTTATGGATCACAACCATGCCAGAAAGCCAATGCAATAGTGGGAGGCTGGCAGCAAACTTGGTGATCATAACTGGATCCTCGTAGAGCTGCTGACACTCCTCGCTCTATAGGCTTGTTCTACGTCAGGAATCGAGTGGCCAATGTGTCCCTCGTACCTCGGACGAACTGCCTCACACAATTTCAGGCGCTATTGTACTTAGGGGAGAGCGGCATCGTTACGCAAAAGCAAAACACACCCAGCACCCATACGGGAGACTAGAGGAGGGGTATATAAGCAATGTTAGTTTCCCCGAAGTTTATCCTCTCATCCTAAGCTGAATGATGCCCCCTAAGAATAGTAGCGCCCAAATTTAATGCTCTGTAGACTCACTGGGTTCGACATCGGACCCAGCAGCCTGGTGGTCAAAGTGTTCGCTTTCAGTAATTCAGAATACCATAACTAACCCTCATTGCAATGATCTTGTCTGCATTTTTGATTGTTGATAGCCGATGAGCAATGATAATCGTCGTGCGACCAACAGAAGCCTGAACTTTACGACTTGAATTGGAGTCGAGATGTACCGCGCCATTTGCGTACCTTCTCTAGTGCCCTTTGCACGACTGCTTCACTTTCAGCGTCCAAAGCGCTGGTAGCCTCGTCGAGTAGAAGAATCTTGGGATCGCGGACAAGTGCACGTGCAATCGCTATTCGCTGTTTCTGTCCACCGGACAGCTGCGTTCCGCGATCGCCGACGGTCGTCTGATAGCCCTGCAATTTTGTTCTTGTCACCAGAAAGCACAATGATGGTGTATGGCCATCAGCATCCTCCGGGATTTGTTGTTGTAAGGTTTTTTTCTCGTTTGTTGCGGGATCATGTACAAAATGTGCATGCAACAGATAAATAAATAAATAAATAAATAAATAAATAAATAAATAAATAAATAAATAAATAAATCGTCGTCGGGTCAAACGAAATCTATTAAATTACCTATTCACTCGGAGAATCGTTTCCATAGATGGGCCTAACCAAGCCAAACGTCAAAAAGGTTCTATACCTGTGGCAGACCATTGATGAAGCCTTCAGCATTCGCCATACGACAAGCGGCTACTATTTCCTGATAGCTGAGATCCGAACGTCCAAACTAAAGCGTAATTATTATGAGTTTTT